CCCCAAAACCCCAAAACCCCAAAACCCCAGATTTTTAGTAATCCATTGAATTATTTAAGCGATTTTTCAGAATACATTCTCATGTACCGGCCAATTGCTTTCTTCAAATTTTCTTGTCACTTCTCCTTGATTCTATCTTGCTTGGAGCGACTCCTGGTTTTGAACTCACTTGGCATCACTGTGTGGAACTGATAATTACTTATACTGAAACCTCAATCGCTCGATGCGGTAATTGGTTTGAAATTTGCACAACTGCTCTAGATATTTAGATACAGCAGCTAACCTTTATCTGAGGAATACTCCTCAGATCAATGAATTTTGGATGGATTGAACTCTTTATCTTGATTGAACTTTGGTAACGGAAATTTCTCCCAATTTTAGTATGATTATTCTGTTTCTAAATAAGACTATTATATTCAAAAATGTCAATCTCCAAAGACATAGTAAGGGTATCTATGAGTTTAGTATTACCTGTTTTAACCCAAGAGACTCCTGTATTGGTGGCATCCCAAGTTGTTTCAGCTTCCACCTCCTCCTTTGCTTAATCTATGATAAAAAGTGCACTTTACTTGACTCATAATTGACTTATTCCGATTTAGACTGTTACCTAATGGAGGCTTATTCTCTAAATGTTGGTATGCAAGTCTCTTTTGAGGCAAGTGGGTAAAATTAAAACTGCTAGACTTTGTATCTTCATGAATCCTCAGAGGATTGGCTTTCTAAAGGGAGATAACAACAATGATAGAATGTTAAATACCATTAATTTATTTTTCTCAGCTTCTAATTATCGCAATATTATTTGGAAACTCTTTAAACTGACTTGTATCTTCACAAACATCAGGAGTAAGTCTGAAATTGGATTTGAACTTGCGTAATTTCAAAATGTTGTTTTCTAAATCAATATTGTTCCAATAGTGTACCTTTCACTGTATGATTTTTGAGAGCTTTGCTAAACCAATCAGAACTCCCAAATAATGTGGTTACTTAAGTTTCTTCTGAATCCTAATCTTTTTAGGTCTCTCCTTTCTTATATCTAATACACTAAAGGGATTCATTTGCATAAAATATATAACCCAGGTACAATATAATTTAACACTCCTGGGGTTTTGGGGTTTTGGGGTTTTGGGGTTTTGGGG